CTTAATTATTGTCTTAACTGAATACTTTTTTAAGTAAAAATCATTGCTATTTTTAATTTATTTATATTGGCTGAAACATCTGGCTTTCATAAAAATCTATGCCTAATGAGAATTTTTCCCCCCAGATCTGGTTTGGAGAAATATTGTGCTGTATTGGAGTGGATGTCATCCCCATGTTTTCTGTATAAGTAGCCAGTGTAGGTATACCTTGGAGATCTTGCATGTTTGGGTCCAGACCACTGCACTAAAGCAAATATTGCAATAAAGCAAGTCACATGAATATTTTGGTTTTCCAGTGCATATAAAAGATATGTTTATACTATATTGTGGTCTATTAAGTGTGCAATAGTATTATGCAAAAGTTTGAGATATTGTGGGAATTTCCAAAATGAGACACAGAGAGACATGAAGTGAGAATACACTGTGGGAAAAATGGTGCCAATGGATTTGTTCAACACAGGGTTGCCCTAAACCTTCAATTTGTAAAAAAAAAAAAAAAACACAGTAAAGTGAGGTATGCCTGTACCTTGTTGGGGGGAAAACAGGAGTAGCATGTGCCTCCAAAGTTCAGAGTCCTAGGTGGTTTAACAGCAGTTCTGCCAGAGACACTATACAACAGTGTCTTTTCTGAGTAGCTCATTACATGTTAGGACACAATAGCACTTTTGAACTAAAAGAAACGAGCCTCCCAAACTGAAAGACTTAGCTGGCAATATCAACAACATCAATGGGCCGTTGTTAGAGGAAAGGGAACCCAGACATTGAAGGGGTAATTTTACATGCCTAGAAATAATTTGCATCTGCAGTCTTGACCTTCCCCAAATGGCTTGGTGTTTATATCTGCCTTCAAAGATAACAGATGATCTTGTAGCTGCATGCTTTTACTAAGAGAGACAACAGCAGGTACTTAGGACAGCCCAAGGACTGTGATGACAGGAACTTCAGGACATAGCTGGATAGGCCTCAGAACTTAGGGAAAACATATGGGAAATAAAAGCTGGCGAGGGTAAGAGATGTGGGCCTCTTGAACATCTAGCATAATAAATCAGGAAGGGGAGGAGGTTAAGAAAAATACCCTTAATTAAATCATGGAATTAAACATATTGTGCGTGAATTCTAGGAAACCAGACAATTGAGATTAAACCAGGGTGATAGGTCCTGAGGAGTCTGAGCCCAGGGTTTTCCCAGGGGAAGCTTACATAGAAATGGATGCCCCAGACATAATTCTCAAGACCCAATTTTAACCAACAGGTGCCTGTGTCCACCTGCTCTGATACCTCTGGGGCAGCAGGCATTGGCAAATGCTGTATATCTTTGTGTGAGCTACCTATTATCCAAAATATCCAAAACCAAACTCACTACCATTGAGTCAGTTCTGACTCTCTTGAGTTTCCAAGGCGGTAAATCTTTACGGAAATAGATTGCCCCATCTTCCTTCTGCAGAGTGGCTGCTGGGTTTGAACCGCCAACCTTCTAGTTAGTCAAATGCCTTAAGCACTGGGCCACCAGAGCTCCTTACCATTAGTGTAATTTTGTGGAATTTCAAATTTTATTGTCTGCCTTTTTTCAAAAAGGATAGAGATGGCTCATTTAGTGGATGACATTCAACACGGTAGCTGGTCTCTTTGACCTGGTAAGGGTCTGTCCCTGAAGGCCTGTCTTTCAGTTGGAGGTTGGGGAGGGGAGAGAGAACCTCCTACTCTGATATCAGAACAGAGAAAGAGTCCAGGGGTAAGAATTGCCAATTCCAAGACATCTGTAATGTTCCAGGAGGCCATGAGGAGAGATGAAGAGAGCCAGCAGAGTGATGCCAAAAGACTTGGCTCTCTGTCCTGTCTCCCACTGACCGGTTGAGTAGACTTCAGCACTCTGGGTCCAAGACCCCTCCTTCTTCTTTTTTTCTTCTTAAGGAAGAGCTAGATATGTGGTTCCCACAGGATTTGCCAGCTTCTTGGGGTGGGGCTGAGGGTTGAGAGTTGCTTATTTATAGTGCAGATTCCTGCCCTCCCTTCAGACCTTCTGAATCAGAATCTCTAGGGATGGGGCCTGGACGTTTGTATTTTTAATAAACATCTCCTAGTTGATTCTGACGCCCAGCCAGTTGTGGGAACTGCAGATGTGAATGATGTCTAGGGACCCTTCCTGTTCTGAGGACCTGTTACAGCTCCTCAGAAAGGACCAGCTGTCCCCAGGTCTGCTCTCTGTGTCTCCCCAACCTGCCCATGTGTCACAAACTGGCATCTAGAAACAGACCACCATTTGGAACCAGTGTTTGGGTGCTCTTTACAAGGCCCTGTTGGCTGGTGCTTCTGTAAGCATCACCTCTAAGGTCACAGAGTCTGAGGTTCATCATGCTTCCATGGAAAGGGTTGGTAACATTTATAAAATAGCATTTTGCTGAGCACCAAGTCAAGTGCTAAAGAAAAGAAGGGTTAGAGTGAAGTACAAAAAAGAGACAGATGGATATTGGTGGGGGAAAGCTTTTCAGGTAGGGCAGAGGCAGGAATGAATGCAGAGTGCTGTCTCCTCACTCTCCAGTGCCCTGACCCCAGCTGTGTGGTGAGCTAGGGAGATAGATCAGATTTTCATCTAAAGGTTATTTCTCTGAGGTATAAACAGCCTTCTTTTGAGTACAAAATCCTCAAGGTTTGCTCCAATTTCTAAAGAGAGCAAGGAATGTAGAACTTAGTGGCTACAGAAATGTTTTGAAAATGTTGTTGACATTTCTTGACTGGCCACAGCACCTGTAATGAGGATATTTGCCTTCATAACAAAGGGTATTTGCCTTAATTTGGAAAAAAAAAAAAATTTGAGTGCCTGACCTAGACACTCTACACAGTTTTGGGTTTTGTTTTTATTTTTGTTTTATGGTAAGGGGGAGGAGGACTTGTTCTTCCTCTGCTTTTAAAAGAATTAGATTTTTACTGGAAATGAAAAATACAGAACTATGATTAAATCTGACCCCAAATCATACCCTTAATGTATATGTCATTCCAGTTTTCTTTAAAAAAAAAAAAAAAAAAGCTAATGAGTTTTAAAAATTTAGTTTTGTTTAAAAAGATAGTTTCCTGCATTTAAATTTGTTCTCTTTATGGCCTTTACCCTTCCTCAAAAGCAAACAGACAAGAACGGTTATCTGCCAGTCAGACCTGGCTGGGCCCAGTTACTAGCTGTGCACTGATAATGATTTACTTTGTGGGTCAGCACAGTTGTAAATTCTCCTCAGATTCATTTCATTTCACCATTTCCTCCTGCACCCTTTCCCCATCAAGCAATCACTACATAGTGATTTGTTGTCCAGATAAAAGTGTATTTAAATGTTTTTATGGAGTCCTTCACCACAGCTGGGACTCCCTGATCATTTCCCTTCCCCAGATAAAAACTTGCATTCAGAATGTTACAAATCTAAATGTGTGAAGACCTGAATGTTCTCATATCCCTTTGATTCAAGGACATAATCATCACAGCCTCTCCCTTACTTCGTGTGCATTTCAAACTGTGTACCTTGAGCTCCATGAACCAGGAAAGTTGCTTTTATTAAAATTAGGGTTGATTTCACTCACTTCATTCAATAGACATTGTTGTTGGGTGCTGTTGAGTTGGTGTGACTCATAGTTACCCTGAGTACAACAGAATAAAACACTTGGCCTGGTCCTGCACCATCAGTAGACATTACTGAGCCCAAATTCTTTTTAGGGAACTGTGATTCCTTGTACTTCAAAAGCTTACAATTTAGTAAAGAAGACAGGAATGTGTATAGAGAGGGAACCTGAGTCCCTAAGTATGTATTATAATGTTTAAAAAACTCCCAAGTGTCCTGAAAACCCTGTTGCCCCTTGATAAACATACATGCAGAGTGGATGAGGATGAGGAAATAGTAGCTGATTAGTAAGTTCCATCTTTCCACTTCTGTGCATAATATTTAGATGGCCACCAATCCAAGTGTGTGTAATGGGCTGTCACACTCTTTCAAGTGTTCTGAGGCTCACAGAAACAAATGTTTATAGTAGTAGGTAATGGCTGCATCCCCAAGAAAGAAACATCTTGTTTGAGAGACAGACACTAAATAAAATATTGTGTCTTTACTGGTTTTCTCTTTAAGAGTTTGATACTTTTCTTGTAGCAACATTGACTTACAAGAAATTATATGGACTTATGTCAAAAACACTTGGGAAATTTGTCTTGGCCCCATTCCCGTGTGACCACTTATTCTAAAGGATTTATAGAAGAGCAAAATGGGGAAAATTTTAGTAGATGTTGTTGTGTTTCTATATGGTGTAAGGAGCTCTGGTGGCATAGTGCCTAAGGAATTTGATTGCTAACCAGAAGATTGGTGGTCCAAACCCACTGGCCACTCCGTGGGAAAAAGACTGGACAATCTACTTCTGTAAAGATTTATTGCCTCGGAAACCTAAAGAGTGTTGCTATGAGTCGGAATCGACCCGATGGCAGTGAATTTGGTTTTTTGGTTTGCTTCTATATGGTGTATATTTTAGAACCACTGGATTTTAAGATGTTTTAGTTCTTCTTTAAGGCTCCTTTGAGAAAGTGACTGGGAAAAAGGAGAATGAGATGCCTGAGTCTGATTTCTGGCTGTATTGCTATTGTCCTATGTGGCTGAGCCCTGGGTAAGTCTTATGGTCTCTGTCCACACGTTAGGCCACCATGAGGGAGGTGGCTGTAATGAACCTCTCCTTGAGCAGGTAAAGTCAGTGAGTTGAAATCTAGAAGCAAGGAGCTAAGTGAGAGACCATGGGCTGATTTAACATGGTCTGTCTGCCCCCTGAACTATGAGTTTGTTTATATACCCATATGAACCATGTACTCTATAAATGTTTACAAACTCCAAGGTTGATGAGAGCTTGCTGTGCGCTTAGTGTTAGCTCATTCCCAAGGCCCAGGCCTCCTGATTGAAATCAGAGTGTTTCAGCCCCAGCCACTTCCTGAAGGCACCACCCTCACTTTCCCTCCAATTCTGAAATGCCTTTCACTCTACCTAGGCTGAAGCCGATGTAGCTTCTCTGAACAGACGCATCCAGCTGGTTGAGGAAGAGTTGGATCGTGCCCAAGAGCGTCTGGCAACAGCTTTGCAAAAGCTGGAGGAGGCTGAGAAAGCAGCAGATGAGAGTGAAAGGTGAGGACACACCATCCTGCCCATCTTTTTGCACAAGCCTTTCTTCCTGGTGCAATGGGAGGACTTCTCTGATCTTTGGGGTCTAAGACTTTGACAGTCCTTTGGTGGGATCATTTCCTCAATTGATAACAGGTATAGACTTTGTTGGTTTTGTTTGTTTAGCATTATTGGAACATCTTCTATGTGTAAAGCACTTTTCTAAGCCCTAAGATTACAAAGAATAAAAAGATCCTGTTCCTACCCTCACAGAGCTCACCATGCAGTGAGGGGGATGGACATGTGGAAAAGAAATTCCAGGAATGCATGTTGATGTTGCTTTTTTCAATCCTGCTGACCACAGAGTAATTTTGCATTTAAAAAATAATAAATACACACACACGTATATATAAACTCACTGCCATCAAGTTATTTCTGACTCATAGCAACCCCTCCTTTGGTTTCTGTGGCCATATCTGTATGGAAGTAGATTACCCAGTCTTCCTTCTAAGGAGTGACTGGTGGGTTTAAACCACCAGCCTTCTGGTTAGCAGGCAAATGCCTTAGGTATTATGCCAGTAGAGTCTTTATTTAAAAATATATGGACAAAGCTAAAGTCTAGATAAATGAACTGTGGGCTGCCAGTTGTTGAATAACCTAATAAATAGAAGAAAAAGCACAGATAAAACAAATATGATGTGCAAAAGTGAATTGTTTTGGACTTAACACAGATAAGACATCCACACACACATAAATACAGTCAGGTACTCGTGTCTTCTGAACCCACACCCCCTGTAACCTGGCTCTACCTGACTTATTGCTTCAAGAGTCAGCTTTGTGGTAGTAAAGGAAGACCATGGTTTGGACAGACCAGCACCACATCTTATATTTTAGAAGGCATTTTCTTATACTCAACTATTCATGGTAATGAATTTGCCATATTGCATAGAAACATTCCAAGAAAGACTCCATGAGACTAGAGAGAGTTCTGCTAGTTGAGGGATGACATAGTATTCAGAACCCTAAAATCGAATCGCTACCGTCTGTGCTATGATGGTGGCAGGTAAGTGCAGTCAACGCCTCCATCGATTTTTTAATCTGCTCCTTGCTTGCACGTATAAACTGAGTTTAGGCTTTCAGGTTAAAGAAGCTTTTTAGCTGAAAGTTTCAGCTTATTATTCACTGCAGCTTAATGTTTCTTCTCTAACCAAGAGTTTTGGAATTCTTTAAGATGACCAGTCATTTCTTACAATGTGCACACAACAGTGCTTTTGTGGTGACTCCTTCCTGAAATAGACTTAGTAGGGAACCTAAAAGACAGTCTGTTAATGTTAGACTTTTGGAGTAAAAATGAATTTGGAGATCATTTAGTCCACATCCCTGGTTTTACAAATGAGGAACCAGGGCTCAGAGACTGAAGTGGCTTGCCCAAAATCTCACAGATAATTTGTGGCCCAGCCAAGGCTAGCTTGCAGGTCTTCTAAGATATATTCTAGTACTTCATCAAAAAACAGTGATTTATTTATCTTACTGCCTACTTACATTTGGTAAATGAATCCCTTCTCAACAACACTTGTTATTCCACAGATCCGTCATATACCACAGGTCAGTTAATATTTTCTAAAGTGTAACAGCAATGCGGGAGGATCCTAGTATACAGATCAGCTTAGAAGATGTTGTCAGTCCTGTCTCACAACATCTATGTTATGACGGGCTACCATTAAGGACAAAACTCATAGTTTCTTTTCTTTTTTTAATTTTTCTTGTGATTTGGGTGAATGTTTACAGAGCAAATTCATTTTCCATACAGCAGCTCACATACGCTTTTTCTCATGACATTGACTATAATTTCCCACAATGTGACAGCTCCCCTCCCACTTCCTCCCCATAGTTACCTCTTCCCTGTGTCCTTCCCTCCCATGCACTTCTGCCCCCTGAGCTGTCTCCCAGTGCATACACAGCCCTTCTATTCTCCCATGATTGATCTCTCCAAGGAGTATATCTACCTAATGTAAATGTTCAGCCCATATGCCTATCTTTTGTTTGGCTGGAAGCCACAGGAAAACTTATAGCTTCATATCTGAAGTACTAGGTTGAACCATATGAAATTACCTTTTTTACAGATCTGAAATGGTCAAATGTCAGCCATTTCATATGGTTCAATCTAATAGTTTTGTGTTTGTAGTAAAGATAAATTTGCTTTAGTTCGTTTTCAAGCTAAAGCTCCCCACCTAGAAAGGAAAGAAATCACATTATTTATTTAGCAAGCAGAGAGCATGTTGGCTTTTCCTATTTCCATGCCTCCCAGATGCAGACAGGATCCTAACATATTACCTTTCATTTAACATTATATTCCTGGACAGTTTAATCAATACCCAAACTGAGATTCGTTCACAGTGAACAGAGAGAAGTGTGTGTCTTTTTTCTGCCTTCAGCCCTAGAAAGTCTTGCTTCATGATTTGGAAAATAAAAATAGCTCTGTGCTGTGTTTTGGTCTGCCAGTCCCACAGACCCTCACATACCACTGCAGTGCTGTGTGAGTTTGTGGTGTTCAGTTCTAAATCTTGGGTTTTCCTGCTTGCACTCCTTTTCAGAGGCATGAAAGTCATTGAGAGTCGAGCCCAAAAGGATGAGGAAAAAATGGAAATTCAAGAGATCCAACTTAAAGAGGCCAAGCACATTGCTGAAGATGCCGACCGCAAGTATGAAGAGGTCAGTTCCTAGGGCCCAGCGCCTCATAGACAACCCAGCAGTGGCCTTGGGGAAGCCAAGGAGCAGTGCACCACCTTGCATTCCTGGGAGCAGCAGTCGGCTTCCATGGCAGAGATGGGTGGTTTCGAGAAGCAGAGTTCCTTTGCCTCCAGGAAACAGGTTTTATTTGATCTTGCTAGGGGATCCCAATCAATAGCACTGGGAAAGTTCAAAGCACCCCACCCCCACCCCCACCCAGACAGGCAGGACAGAAGACAGGAGAAGGGAGCATTGGGACTCTTGCGTCTGATGGAAGGAGATTCTCACAGTATCACAGTGCAGCAGTTCTTCTCTGTCTGATTCAATAGCACCAGTTCCATTCAAGCAGTTGCTGGGTAGATTCATGAAGACCATTTTCTGTCTGTCTCCCCCCTTTATGGGTGGTAGAATCCCATTATCACCCCAGGTTGATGGGTGAATCAGCTTCTGGTCATGCCACTATCAGAAGAACCTCCTACAGAATCAGAGCCAATGTGACAGTTCAGGCTTTAGTGTTTCCTTTATCAAGTCATGGCTACATAACTACAACAGCATTGACCCTCCGCTGTTACCATCATCATCATCATCACCACCACCACCACCACCACCACCACCACCACCATCATCATCATCATCATCATCATCATCATCATCATCATCATCTCCTCGATTAACAATATGCCCACTTATTTCAAACTGCTTCAGAGGATCAGTTCTTTTCTCAGGTTGTTTCTTCCACAGAACACACATTTTTCTTGGTTAGTCATCTCATCACCTTAGCTCATGATAGCTCCTCTTGCTGTTCTGTCAGCATCCTCAGCCTCCTCCACAGAAAGGGGGTTGATGAACAGAGCTCCAAATGATGGGGGTTTTCTTAGGATTATTTTCAGCAGCTTCTCAGCTGAACCCACCTTTTTAGCTTCATATGCATATCGTATCATGCTGCCATTTGAAAGATTGTGGTTTTCATCTCTCTCCCTCCTTCCACGCTTTGTCTGGCTACTATGTAATGATACAAAGTTGACCAGAGTCAATTGGGCTTAAAATCCAGACTGCCCAGTCGTAACTGACTATTCTGAGTCTTTCTAAGTAGAATCCTCTGGTTTCCTTTCTATTGGCAACTCCTGATGAGGCATTGCCTCTCTCCACTCTGCAGGGAAGAGTATCCTTTTGTAGACAAGAACCCACAGGGGCTGATGGATCTAGTCCCCACCTCTCACCACCACTCCCGAAGCTTACAAGCCCCATGGGGTGTGTCTTGTGTTTGTCCTGCTGCAGGTGGCCCGTAAACTGGTCATCATTGAGAGTGACCTGGAACGTGCAGAGGAGCGGGCTGAGCTCTCAGAAGGGTAAGCAAGCCCCGTGCCAGGAGGCTGTGTGTGGGATGCTGCAAGGCAGTGACTAAACAGCATGACCTTCTGGCAGCTGCACATTTACCTGTTTCAGCTCCGGGCTCCTTATGTGCTCATTTGAGTCGGATAAGCCACGAGTCTGGAACATGGAGGACTTGTGTGGGGTGTCTGCGTGTGAATGCGTGTATCACTGCATGCCTTACCTGCACACTGATTTTGTGAATGGCCTTGTGCATTTCCTATGTCCACTAACAGCCAAGTTCGACAGCTGGAAGAACAATTAAGAATAATGGATCAGACCTTGAAAGCATTAATGGCTGCAGAGGATAAGGTACTGATGGCTCATGTGTGATTTTTAGGTTTAACTGCAACCCAGGTGTCTTTCAGCTTCCAGTGTCTGCTCGTTCGTTTGGTATAATGACTGCACCTTCACTACACCCTCTGCTATCTTATATCTCGCTTTAAGTGCTTTCTTTTGGTCCTTTATGCTCCTTTGTTTTTTCTTTCATAAATGCTCTTTGGTGCAGCCACAGAAGAAGCCAAATTATCACATATCAAAGTTGTTGGATTCCGTCACCCTGCCTTTCAATGCTGTCGCAAGGTTGGGGGACAGCATCCATGCGAAATTGAGCATGTTAATACCTGGTGATTTGGCTACTTTAAGGCAGCCCTTCATCTCTAGGACTCAATTTTCATTTTTTCCCACCCCTCTCCTTTTTCTCTCTTCCTCCTTTTGGCTTGTCTCCCACCCTTTCTGCCTCTGATCGAAAATATTAGCAAATGTGCCGAGCTTGAAGAAGAATTGAAAACTGTGACGAACAACTTGAAGTCACTGGAGGCTCAGGCTGAGAAGGTAGGCCAGGAGCATGGTGTGGGGGAAAAAGGGCATCTTTTAAAAAAGCTGTTCAAAAGAGGCCGCTTTTTCTCTTCTGAGGCCCTGCAGATTAAAAGCAACAGTCCCATAGGTGTTTTGGTCAATTGCAAGCTTTTGAGGCAATTTCCTGATGATGGTTAGATAACAGATTTTTTTTTTTTTTTTAATAGAGAATATATTTTATGTTGGGTACGTGAGTCATCTGCAACAATTTAATTTAGAGCAAGTACCAAATGGATACATTATCTTGTTCCTCTCCCATGTAAAACAATAGGCAAGAAAACAGAGAATGTATTGTAGTGAGCTATTTAATATCAGAGGTTCTGTTACCTCCTAAGAGATCTTTAATGTCTGTTGACTGGCTAGCACTTTCTTTGTATGAGAAGACATGAGTATAGAGTGAACGGCAGCCTGACATCTGGAATGCTCTTTCTAATTACAGTACTCACAGAAGGAAGACAAGTATGAGGAAGAGATCAAGGTCCTTTCTGACAAGCTGAAGGAGGTAATATGAAGGGAGTTTTGGAGATGAAGTCAACTGCATTTTAAATTAGTTCGTTTTTATGGAGATAGGGCTTTTCATTTTAAAGTTGAGATGATCCAAGTCAAAAGTTATATTAATATCCTGTGCTATCATCTGCAGATTCCTTTTATGGGTGCTATGCTTGATTTTCATTCTCTAGTTTTCCCATAAGGAGCTCTGGTGGCACAGTGCCTAAGGCATTTGACTGCTAACCAGAAGGTTGACAGTTCAAACCCACCAGCTACTCCATGGAAGGAAGATGGGGCAATCTACTTCCATAGTGATCCTGCCTTGGAAATCCAAGGAGGGGTTGCTATGAGTCGGAATCAACTTAATGGCACTGAGTTTTGTTTGTTTGTGGGTTTTTTTTTTTTTTTTTTTTTTTTTTGAGCCTTTTCCCTGTAGTTTTAAAAAAGAAAAGGAGAGAGGGGAAAATAAAAAAAGAAACAAACTAGTCACTCTCTAGTTGATTCTGACTCATAATGACCCCATGTGTGTCAGAGTAAACTTGTGTTTCATAGGGTTTTCAGTGGCTTATTCAGAAGTAGATCGCCGCATCTTTCTTCCAAGGTCCCTCTGGTTGCCTTTGAACCTCCAACCTTTCAGTTAGCAGCCAAGCACGTTAACCCTCTGTACCATCCAGGGACTCGCCCTATACTTGTAACTACTACAATTTAAAACATCCCAGTTTTGAAACAAATCAATTGAATCATTACAGGCTGAGACTCGGGCTGAGTTTGCAGAGAGGTCAGTAACTAAGTTGGAGAAAAGCATTGATGACTTAGAAGGTAAGATCTTAAGTTTTGTTTTTAATTTAATCCTCATGGTTGAATATTGATTGTCCTGACAAAATGATTCTGTACTCTGAGTGCATCCACCTTGATGTACTCTTTTGCTCTTGCACATTCTTCCTGCCTATCCTCTGGAATTTCTCGCTGTGCCTCTTAAACTCTTGGACCTGAGTCCTCTGCTCACCAGATGACTGGTCAGCTACCAGACAGGGCACAACTCCTTCTGTAACAGCAGATGCCGTCCAGCTTTATTTACTTCCTGCTCTGTGGCAGGCTTATCTTCCACTGTAAGCAAGGTGGTTATAGGTGACAGGGACTCATCTTAAGTGAGAGCTCCTAATTGTCAGAATAATGTGGGCTTGTTTTTAAACACAACCTATCTTATTCCAGGTATCAATACAAAGTCATTAATTATTTTAGGAAAATGCTTCATATCCTCAAGGGAGGAGGTGGTCAATAGGGCATTGTGTTTTCAGACTTTGTTTATGCACTTCACCCTTAAGTTATTTTGGTTTTATTTTGGTAACACTGTTTGACAGAAATCCTCAATGTTAAGCTCTGAGGCTGTGATAAAAGGTCAGCAGTGAAAAAAGAGAAAGAAAAAGAGATATATAATACATAACCATCATAGGCAGAAGAGGCTAGGGGAAGGGATTGGAAGTTGTTGCAGATAGATATTAACCAGGATAACGGAGAAAAATGAATGACAAGTATTTGCAAAACAGTATGCCATAATACAGCAAAATATGAAACTTTCATCATTGCAAAAACAAAAATGCAGACTTGCTGCAATTCCTCCATAAAAAGTATGGCTCTCCTTGCTTTTCAAGCCTCCTGGACCAGTAATGGGGCAGCTTGAGTGAGAAGACCACAAAGAATAGTTAAAAATGACACTAAGAAATCAATATCTCAGTGGTCTAGTTTGTTCAGGAAGTTGGTGGTTTAAAGGTGGAGCCAGATAAGGATTACAAACTATAGTCACAAATTGTTCTTCCAAAACACTGCTCTTGAATATGTTTTTTTCCACTGTTTATAGCTGCAGGTTGCTGACGACTCCCGTGTAATTAAAATATAGCTCCGTTTAAAAAAAAAAGTTCTATTTCCCACCCAGGAGATAGGCTTCTGTGGTTTTGTTTAGGGTTTAACATGGCTTACTGATATGCCTGCCATATTTGTTATGATTTTCATATTGAGTCTTTCTCATTTTATTTTCTAATGGATTTTGTTCTTTTTGTTTTTGTTTCGATTTATTTTAAAAACAAAACGCACGCCTCCTGCATTGGGCACCTGCTGCGGCACCACTTCCTTCATGCATTGCCCTTTTCTTGCTGCTGTGTTGGGGATGGTATCCATGCCACCCTCATTCACCCTCCATCTCTTGGTAACTCTCCATGTCCTTGCACACTTCTGCCTTCTACTTCCTGGTCATAGACGAGCTGTATGCTCAGAAACTGAAGTACAAAGCCATCAGCGAGGAGCTGGACCACGCTCTCAACGATATGACTTCCATGTAAATGTTCATCCACCCTGCCTGCTCATACCCATGCCCTCACACTAATACAAGAAACTCACCATTGCTCCTTCTTTGCCTCCATAATCTCCATCTGTATACCCTTCTGTTTATTCTCTTTTGCATAATCTAGCATAGTTGGAGCTTTTTCACATTCTGCCCATATAAAGACCAAGTAGATTAAATTTGTCTATGCAAGTCATTTTCCTTTGAGAATCTGTTTATCATTGCTGAGCGAGATTGTTCCTGCCCAGCAATGAACTAGAATATGAATGACCTAGAGCACTATCCTTTTTTGGAAATTAAATGAGTCTCAAGTAAAATTAGAAGGTTGCACAATTATGTAGGAACTTCCCAAGAAATCTCAAAATTGGTTTCCCAAGATTTATTCGGTGCAACATGATCATTTCATTTTCATAAAAGAAATATAAATTTACAGAAATCCTAAAGCATTATGCTGTTACAGATCTGTGCAAAAGGCAATTGGAATGATCTGTACAGCCTCAAGTTTGGTGCTATAAAAGATCACCTCTATCTTACGTCTAAAAATTCTAGAGAAGTGAACCTTGTCCTGGGTAACCAAGCCTTTAATTTTCTGCTGGTGGCATAGTGCCTAAGGCACTTGGCTGCTAACCAGAAGGCTGGTGGTTCAAACTCGGAAGGAAGACTGGGCAATCTACTTCCGTAGAGATACTGCCTCAGAAACCCAAGGAGGGGCCGCTATGAGTCAGAACTGACCCAACAGCAGTGAGTATATAATAGGACTTAGAATGCCCCCAATAAACATGTACCACAAATTATGTCCAAGAAATAGGAACTAAAACAAAGGTTATACAGTGTAATTTTGGAGTTTCCTGCCCTAGGTTTTACTCCATGGGGCAGTAGCCTTGTTTTCACACACACCTAATTTACATATTACTAACCAGATTCAAACATTGCGCTTAATCTGCCTCTTTAAATTCTAACCTGGAATGTTCCACAGAGGGTTAGTTCTTCTAACAGTATCACACTGAGTTCCACTGAAGCTGGAAATTCCTTTTCCAGCCCTACTTGTCACTCCTTTGTTTACCCGTGCAGAAAAATGGTAGCTGGAAAAGTGTGGCATGTGCCTGCTGGTTTAGAGTTTATAGAATCTCCACCCTCAAAAAGAAAGGAAAAAAAAAAGTCCCCTTACAGACATCACGGAAACAAGAAAACTCCATCTTTTACCTCATTTATAAATGAGAGGTGGATCTGATCATCTGTCTCTAAGGTCTTTCCCAGTGTTAAAAATGGGGTAGTTCTATGGGGTAAAAAAAACCTAGCATCAAGTATAATTAAATATTCTGAACAGTGGATTTTTCTGCTCATGGGTCGACTTAGAATGAACCTAGACCCAAAGGGGCCTGTGGTGCAGACTGTGGTGGGCAAGGCTAGACATCTGCCCACGGGTGCAGCCGGTCATGGAGTATGCATGCCTGCTTCTCACCTGTGTTTCAAGTGCTGCTCTCTTCCATTTGGTTCTGTTTGTTTGTTTTCCATTGTGCCACTTTTTTCTTTCTCTCCCACCTTTTATCTTCTCGCAGATAAGTTTCTTTGCTTCACTTCTCCCGAGACACCCTCATCAAGCCGGATGTCCCATCTCTCTGAGCTCTGCACTTTATCTCTTCTCCAGCTGACCCTGGCCCTTTCTCTTAGCATCCTGCCTTAGGGCCAGGCACACACTGTGCTGTCTATTGTACAGACACTCTTTATTTCAGTGTAAAATAAACACTGTATGTAAGCTATTTCTGTTTGCTATTCTTTTTACTTATTTATTGACATTTTAGTTTCAACACTGAATAAAGCTACAAATCTACTTCACGCATGTAAAGGGTTCATTTTTGGTGGCTGCTGTTTTTTTGTTTTTGTTTTTGTTTTCCCCTCCTCCTCCTCCCTTCTCATTCTGAAGATTGTGCATCAATGTCTAGAGTGCAAAACCAAGAGTTTCTAAAGAAGTAGTTGTGGAACTTTTAAGAAATACTCATATGCCCTGGCCCGCTCCAAGGTTAGAGTGAGCCCAGGCATCAGTGCTTGAGGGGGTTAATGTAGTTCTGGTATGCAGTCTGGGTTGGGAACCACCATCATTCAGGGAACATTGCTTGTTGGAGTCAGAAGACTGACTTGAGTAGTGTCTTCCTTGTACTGGAGGGTTTTTTTGGAGGTTGGGGGCCCCTCTTTGTTGATATTTAGATGGCCCTGTTTGGGCATCAGAGAATATGGCTAACTAATGACAGGCTCCCAGTGAATGGCTTCAGAGCTGTCCCACATTGTTAGGGACTTAGTATTAAGAGAGGTGGAAAAGAACTTTGAGTCAAACAATTTAGCTGCCAGGCATCCTTTTCCAGCACAAAGAAGAGTGAAAGTTTGTTTTTTGTTTTGTTCTGTTTTGTTAAATATAATCATCATTCATTCATTTTGATCAAGAAGATGATATCTTAGGTTTTCTAAATATGATTACTGTGCTCAGGGGTACCATGCGTTCTTTAGGAGAGATTGTACAGACGTCATGTTTAATAGGTGTTTTCTTCATTTATGGGAATTTTTTAAGTATAGCCATCAAAGTTGATTCTGGTAGTTTTATTTTTCCTGTAAAATTGGTTGAAATTGTTCAGAATAGTTTTTTTGTTTGGGTTTCCCTATTTCACTTCTCCAGTTGGAATTAAGTGATTTTTTTTCAAAGCACACATCGCAAAATTGGAACTTTAAAATGATATGACTTCTGTTTCTTAATTCCCAGCAGTTCTCTGTCCTTGACAATCTGGATATATTTCTCCTGTGTTTTAAATATGGGTCATCTTTATTTGCTTAGTGTGTAGTTTTTATTAATCCAAGAGGGTTGCTATACTGCTACACTCAAATAAATTTAGACAAATAATGTCAGTCACTCTATAAAGACTTCAGAGCAGAGAGAAAAGATTTGTTATAAGAAGGCTGTGAATTGAAATAGTAGTGATATAATGAGTTTTTGAAAATCTAGAATCTGGGCAGTGTTTCCATTGAGAGGATAAGGATCTCTGTACCTTTGTGTTTTTCTTATGCATGCTTTTGACCATGTTCCCTACCTTGTTCTTTTTCTAAAGTCAGGATAATTGGAGTGTGCCCTTCTCTGAGTTATCCTGCTTCCTGCCATAGACAAAATCTCAGGTCTGAAAGTTCTGCTGAGCACATGTTCACATAGTTCTACAGGCATGGTTATTTTTTGGAAACCCTTCGTAAGACTTTCACACGTTCTGTAAGTCCACTCTACAAGGAGAAATGGGAAACTAATGGACTGGGAAGGCAAGAGTAGACCGAGAGTACGTGGAGACAAGGTGATAAAATAGCAAGTTGAGTTTATCAAGAGATTCTTGGAGCCCAGACTTCTAGTTCAGAGAGCTACAACATAGCTGCAGCTATTGCAGGAGCCTCAGTTAGACCAAACCAAAAGCATTGCTGAATCTGAGTGCTAGAGATCCAGATGCTGAGAGGCAGAACAGGAAGGGAAAATACTTCCAAATGGATAAACATGCCTGATCTGTGACCTCAGGCCACCCAGGCACATTTGCTCCATGGTAACTGAAGTGGAGCAGGTCCAACACAGACTATGGTAGGGACAGCTCTCATTTAAGCTGAATTCATAGAGACCCTCTGGATTCTCCAGGGTTTCTCCAAAGTTCTTCCATTCCATCTTAGCCAAACACTGGCTCAACAGACCAAAACTGCCTGCCTGCCCACCCATGTGTGGTTTCAGTAGTGTGTGAGTGTAGTAGTGAGATTTACATTTTGCAGTCCCCTGGCATGTGACATATGGAAGACACTGTGGAAGGTGGTAGAAAGGTGGTATGGAGATGGAGCCAGAATGCTTTGTCCTTAGTGAGCTGACCATCTTGTGGGAAGGTGGATTGAGTATAGCCAGTCTGAAGTAAGAGATAGTGTTCAGGTAGAGCCAACAAGGAAGAGAGTACTTCTGACTGAGAACTTCCTGGACAAGGTGACATTTGAGCAGGGTTTTGAATATTCAGAAAGTTAGGATGAGCAAAGAGGACAAGGCAAAGGATCTTCAAAGCCAGAAAACATAAATGAAGATAAAGAGCATCTTTTTCATATTCCACCGCTGATGAAAGACAGTTAGAATGGTCCAACTTTCCAGTAGTCCTGGGGGTTAGAGACTGGGCATTTTCCCCAACAATAGGATTGCCAGCTTTTGAAGATCATTACATAGAATTTCTGGGTCCAGGTCATCACCCTTATATGGTTCAAAGCAATCATGTATCCTCTAGCTTTTCATGGTGGGTACTTGGTCTTATAATTGTTGGGATGTCAATTATCAAATAAAGACTGATTCTTAGCATGATTGGCTACTTGCCATGTAAGCAGATTCTGACTCATAGGGACCCCTCCTTGGAATTCCGATGTGGTATCACTATGGAAGTAGATTGCCCAGTCTGTCTTCTGCAGAGTGGCTGGTGGGTTTGAACCACCAGTGTTCTGGTTAGCAGTCAAATGCCTTAGGCACAGTACCACCAGAGCTGCACAGATTACGTAGTAGTATATAAAATTTATATCACAGTGCTCTCCCTGAAAATTTTTTTAAGATTTTGCTCATTTTATATACAATCCATCTAGTAAGCAAACATGAATGTCATCCTCCTTAAAAAGTAACTAAAGTCTAAATCAGTTTTAAATGGAGATACATGCTTGCTTTGGTACTTGAGTTGGGTAACACACACTGTATCACAGCTGGACAAGAGTTCAGAATCTGCATCTGTGTCATGGCAGCTGGGTGAAGGCCAAGGAGCTCAGTTCTTTTTCCTCCTCCTGTTGAAAGAAGGTCCACGCTTTTCACTCCCCAGGAGGTGTGCAGTAACCAGGGAGACTTCATAAGAGCACAGGATGGAGTTCAGAGTGCCTGGCAGCCCTTCCGTAGGCCAGTTGATGACAAATCTTTTTCCCTATTACCCAAATTTGGGTCACATTCAGTTTGGTGGAGCTTTATGTTTTTTCAGTTAAAAGAGCAATTGACCACAGCTCAAGGTTGAGTCAGGATCCTGCCTTTTAATGCTTTTTTAGCTGTAAAAGAAAAAAAGGAATTTTGAAACTAGCATCTGCCAGATTTTTCCCTATACTTTGCTGGCATGCCTGGACTTAATAAGGGCTTCTTCAAGAAATCTTTGGCTCGAAACCAGAGCCTCCCGCATTTTTCTTAATTCCAGTAATGGAAGCACCCAATTTTATCTGCAAACAGAACCGTTTGCTGTGATTCCAAGCCCATCGTTTGACATTGTTTTTAACAAATGCAGCAGCTCTTAGGGATATCAAAGAAACCAGTTGCTTCCAAACTTAACTGAAATGTCATCATCATTTTCTAGTAATCACTTTGATGAATAATTCAGTCTTGCCAGGAGCAGACCAGCTCTGCATGTAAAGCCAGCAATGGCCATTTCATTTCTAACTCTTTTTTTTTTTAAGTTTTCCTTGATACTTTTATTCTATTGAAGTAACATCAGCATTTCAAAAAAGTTAATGCAGCAGGAGTAGCCTAGCCCCCTCTTGGTACTACCTGAATGGAAAGCCTACCCCTGTAAGAGAAGATAAAAGGGGTTCCGGGAAGAGGTGGGCAGAAATGGAAGGGCTGGCTCTCACCGTAAGATCTCCATTAAGTCCTAGCAAGGAGGGGATGACATGCTGGGCTCACCTTCAGTCCTGCCTCAGGTCCTAGTGCTGTTGCCAGAGACTGCATCTGGTTAAGTTCATAGAATGATTCTCTAATGAGGTACAAGAAGAACATTCACTTTCTTCTTCTCCTATCCCATTGCTCCCTTTTCTCCCTTCCCCAGCAAGAGGGAAAACTCTGACCCTTCCTAAGTCTGTTAGGCCTTTTATCATCCATCCTTCCCTGGACACAAGACTGACCACGGGGTAAGAGTAAACTGCTCACCAGTGACCAGTTGCTGCCTCGCCTGAGGAATCTGTGTTCTCTGTCAACTCCCTCTCATGAGTCTGGCTAACCTCTGTTCCTTCTGCCTCTTTTCTGCTAACCTGCTTGCTGACCTGTACAGATCAACTCTACCAGCAACTTGAGCAAAACCGCCGTCTAACTAACGAACTAAAACTGGCTCTGAATGAGGATTAAGCTTAAGGGTGAAAAAACTTGGGCTGAATTCTAGGAATGGCGCCCATGTGCAGGAAATCTAAGACTGCCATATCTTCAATGCATAGGGCTGAGAACGGTGGCTTTCTGCAGCAATGTAAATAAAAGGAATCAGCTGAAAGGCTGGCCTTGCCTGCATAGTCCTCTTCATAACTGGAATCATGAAGTTCTCTTTAATCCCAAAATAGCTTTATGCTAAAATACATACATTATGTATACAGATACATATTTATAATAATCATCTTCAGCACTCCTCTTTGCAAAAGCAGGTACTCTTGTTTGAACTGATAGATATGAGGACATAAAAATGTTTTCTGTTTCCCAGAGAACTGAGAGTCCTGCTTGTAAGTTAGAAAGCCAAAGCAGAGGATGTGTGTGTATGTATATATTCATTCTCCTAAGTTCTCGTATATGATACACTGTTTGAAATATGATTAAATGTACTTATGCTTGGACAAAATAGCTTTTGAAAACGAGTTCATGTCAGAAGTCCCTGGTTGTCAGAAAGGTATGCTTTGTTCAGTCTAGTGTGTTGGAATCTGGTAATGTCATGCTGATAATAAGTAGAACACTATAAGAATATTAAGAGAATGTCTTAACGAAGTGTGCATGAAACATGTTCATAGTGTATTTTTTTTGAATGAGCAACAGAAATAAATCATTTGAGAAGTTGTCAGAAACCCCATTCATGTCATCCTTGCTTTCTATGAGGTTGTGTGACAGCACAACTCCTAGAACCTTTAACTGCCTGTAACCCAGAAATGTCTGCTGTTATTAACGTGTCCGGTTTGTATAACAGCACTACAAGCTGTTTTCAGTTGTTGCCTCTTCCACTTCCCACAGCACCTGATCAGTGAACCTGCACCAAATGCCGCCTGCATTTTATTCTGAGCGGATTGCTGGTGAGGGTGCACCTGACAGTTCTATGAGACCCTGCTGTGCCTGTGGTTCCTTTGAGCCAGAGACATCTACCCCTTTCCTAGGTCCTTGTCTGGAAATGAGTAATGTCCTATGAGCATGCCTAGTTCTAATCATCTCATCCTGTGTTTGTGATTGATGCCCGCCTGCCTAGATACACAAAGCACTGTTGTGTCCAAGCACAGCTATTCATGACTGCATTTTCTAATCCCACCACAGAGAAAGTGGCTCATGCCAAAGAAGAAAACCTTAGTATGCATCAGATGCTGGATCAGACTTTACTGGAGTTAAACAACATGTGAAAACTTCCTTAGCTGCGACCACATTCTTTCATTTCGTTTTTGTTGTTTTTTTTTTTTTTTTTTTAATTTTGTTTTGTTTTTAAACACCTGCTTGCCATGAAACCCCTTAAATGCATTTTTATTTACTTTTACCACTGTCACAGAAACATCCATGAAATGCCAGCTAAGTCAGGGGGTGGGGAGAACACACACAAAAAAGGGCAAGCCCACATCAGGGCAGCAATGATGTAACTGTGCCATTTCCCAGGTTGAGGTTGCCACACTTTGTAGAGCGTTTTGCAACACAGTATGCTTAGTCAGTCTAGGAATCCTCACTGAAGCAGAAAGACTTCCACTCAAAGTGCCAACGGTATAGTCTACAGGAAGATGAATGTTGGAAACACAATCAGGTGTGGATTGGTGCTACTTTAACTGAAAGGTCTCCCGTGGCCTTTTGTTCAATATTGTACAATTCAGAATTCTGTCCAACACTAATTTATTTTATCTTGAGTTTTACTGCGAGATGAGACTTTGGATCCTGTATGCCTGAATTCACTAAAGCCAAGGGTTTGTAAGCCACGCTGCTCTTTTAAGATTTCCATTTCCTTCTAATTGGCACACTTGCAGCTCATTACAGTTTGTAGGATAGCATTCAATGTGGATTTCCACTCTTTTCAATTCTCCATGTTAAAGTGAAAGATTTAGGCACTACATACAATTGGTGAAGAAAAAAAATTTGTCCTAAGAGTTATAACTATATGTAAACATTGTATAATGATATGGAATAAAATGCACATTGTAGGACATTTTCTAAATTTGGTGGTCCTGTCATTTGTATGGTTTTGCTTTGTGAACTTCGGATCGTGTGACTGACCTATCTTCCCTTGCATGGTTTCTTACAAAAAAAGAACAACATCCCAAAGTCAAGGAGAAAACCGAGTTTCAAGTGTTACCCCTCAGAAGCACTAAAGGCAGCACCACCCGCTGTCCTGTTAAAGTTATAACTATGCAGAAAAGACCTTCTCCAAAAGTCATCTCTCATGGTACTGGTATATATCTACACATACATCTAGTCCTTTTACAGTGATTCTAGGAGCCCTGGTGGCACAAAGGCTAAGCTCTCAACTGCTAACCAATAAGTTGGTGGTTCGAGTCCACCCAGTGGTTCACAGGAGAAACACCTGACAATCTGCTTCTGTGAAAATGACAGCCTAGAAAACCCTATGGGGCAATTCAACTCTGTTACCTGGGGTCACTGTGAGTCACAACGTCACTCAACATCTCCTAACAGTAACGATGACACAGTCATTTTACTGGTTTGGGGATTTTTCTGCAAATTTTAGCCCAGACTTCAGCAGTGGCATATGAACACGTTAACAAACTGTGGGTTAATACACCAAATCTGCTGTTGCTGCCACTACCCAACTCTCACCCTCCACCCTCCAGCAATGTGATCTACTTAAAAGTCTTGCTTTAAAAGGTCTTTGTGATTTTTTTTTTTCCTCCCTGCTTTCTAGCTCATGTAAATTCTAAATTCCAATACATCTTCATTTTCTCAGAAACTGAAAGTATAAGTCATTTCTCTTGCTGTTGAAAACTTTGTGCATAAAAACAAATTACAAACAATATTAGTTGTTGGCCTAACTTGTACTTCAGGGAGAAAATGGACTTTCTCACAAAAAGCCAACACAGTAAAATGGGAGCAAACGAATAAAACCTCTTTTGAATACAGGCCTCATATTTTAATTCAGAAGTATTAAACATCTCTGTAACTCTTCTTCCATGCTCTATAATGAGGTCTTCTCAGTGGAAAGAGAAAGGGTGTAAGGCAAGGAACCTAAATAGAAGCCTGTGGGCCTGTCTTCCAGAGCCCACTTTTAAAAAGCTGTCCCGTTGTTCAAGCAAATAAATGCTCTGAGTCAATCTTCCCACATCTTCACCACCTCTAGGCTCACCCCTGTTGGTCTGCAGTTAGGGGGTGGGGGTGGGGGCATGCTTCTGCCTTACTCTAATCATGAAAGTCTTTCCTAAAACAAGCATTCTTTCAAAGAAGAACGAGGAAAACCAAAGAAACATGGAAACAATTTCATCCAAGGGACTAGTAGACCCTGCAATCCTCAGCATATATGACTATGAGACCGTAAGATGGTGCCCAGCTACTACTGTCAAGCACTCAGAAAAGGATTAATGCAGTAGATCCCAGATAGAGTGGGATAACAATATGGAACAAAACTCAAAATCATTTAAAAAAAAAAAAGACCAGGTTTACTGGTTTGATAGATTTCTGGTGAGACTCCCGAGACTATGGTCCCTGGTTGCCCGTCAGGTCTGGAACTGAACCCTCTCCTGTGGCTTCCAGCCAAACAGTAGTTGGGTATATGGGGTGAACATTTACATCAGGTAGATACACTCCTTTGAAGTGATCAGTCATGAGAGAACCAAAGGGCAGTGTTTGCACAGGGAGATAGCTGGGTGGATGGTAGTGCATGGGAAGGAAGGACACAGGGAAGAGGTAACTACAGGGAGCAAGTGGGTGGAGAACAGTTACACTGTGGGGAATTGCAGTCAATGTCATGAAACAAAATGTGTATGAATTGCTGTAGGGAAAATGAATTTGCTCTGTAAATGTTCACCCAAATCACAAAAATTTAAAAAAAAAAAAAAACAATGCTCTTTCACTCGAGCCAACCCTGGCTTCAAATTCTAACTCTGCACTTCATTAGCTCCCTAACCTTGGAAAGGAGTCTCTGGATGGTGCCACGGTTAATGTGTGCAGCTGCTGGTTTAACCTTGGAAAGTTCTATAAAGTTTCCAAATCCGAGTATTAGTAAAATGGAGATGAGACTAACACCTAGTTCATAAGATTATTATTGTGAGAAGTGTATAATTTATGTACAATACCTAACAGTGCCAGGTACCTAGGGCATACTCAATGCAAACTACTGCTGTTTTGAGATTTGTCACGTGTGCTCCAAAGACCCCCCCAGAGAGGACATTTAATATACATTATGGTAAAGCAGAGACATCACTAACCTTGCCCCAAATGATGATGATGATGATGAAAAAAGCAAAACAAAACATTGCCGTCAAGTGGGATCGGACTCATAGTGACCCCTCCTTGGGTTTCTGTGGCAGTATTATCACTATGGAAGTAGTTTGCCAAACCTTCCTTCTGAGGAGTGGCTGGTGGGTTTGAACCACCAGCCTTCTGATTAGCAGTCTTAGGCATTACACCACCAGAACTCCTATGGCTATTAATAATCTCAGATACCAATTTTATGTCCCAGAACCTGTAATAAGCACCTCACCTGTATTATTTCATTTAGACCTCCCATCAGTCCTCGTTTTGCAAACTCAGAAAAGATCTCAGGTAGGTTGAGCACAGTTACAGTTCTGTAGCTCACAAGTAGTGGAGTCGGGCTTCAGACTCAGGCCTGTGTGGCTCCATAGCCCTATTTGGATTCTTCCATTTGTTTCAAACATTTCATAGCAGAAGAAAAGTGACCACAGATGAAGGAGGTAGAAACAGATGGGACAGTGGGTGTAGGTTGGGAGAAAATGAGGCTGGGTGATGTAGGTTGAATCTACCACTCAGCTGTTGATGTGACCATGAGTGGTTTAGCCCTTAACTCTTCCTCTCTAACTTCTAGGATCAGATGATATGAATTAATTATGAAACATCATGCCAATTCAAAGAATTATTACTACCTAATGTTTCGGGTTAATGTAAGGGAGACCAAGGACACACAACTTGGGTGTGACTGGGTGTGATAATCTCTGTGAACAGGCCACCATGTGAAGTCAGAGTAGTGAGATTAGGGTTCTTCATAGGCAAAGACCAAGGCTGGCGACCAATATGGTCACCTTGTAGAAAATCATGAAGTATAGAGAGAGAATTCGGGATTCATACTCCAAATTCCATTGCTGAAACTGAGCAGGCCCACATTTCATAAGAAACAGCTGGAAAAGTTGCCTTGTTCAGTGTAAAACGTTGTGGAGCTCTATCCACAAAGAAAAGAGTCTAGGATAAAAAGATAAGCATGTTGAAAGGATGTTTATGTTGGTGATGAGAGTTCTACAATGTCCTATTAAGGAAAAAAAATTATTTGTAGATACATATTCTGAACTTTTTGAGACCAACATCAAAGAGAACAATTCCCCCTTTAGCTCTTGGAGATAGCATTAGTAGAAACAAAATAAAATTTTTGTGTATACTGGTGTGTATCGTCTAGAATTCAGTACTTTTGACCTGATTTCTTTCCTCCAGAAAAGAACTTTTACTTGTGCAAATATTTGAGCCTGTTAACCATTTTTTCAACTTGTAGACACTATTTGTAGGTGAATTTTTTTTAAATGTACAATCAGATGCATATAAAGGAGGGGGGAAAAAACATTTGAATTCTCCAATCAAAACAAAAAGCACTGGCGTGTTCAGGGAGCCATCATTCCCAGAATTTGAGACAAGGGTTTGGAAAGAAATGAGAAATGTCAGGCAGTGCAAGAAATGAACCTTCCATTATGTATACTTTTTGACACTGAGGGTTTTCAGAGCTACATTCCTGAGACAGATGTCATATATTTTGTGTGTCAAACAATAAATGAAGCTGTGCTGAGGGTTCACTAATACAAATGCAACTTTTGCCAAATTTTTGACAAACGGGCACCAATCCAGAGGATAAGGCTGGTGCCTGCTGCTGGTGAGAGTTTTATTTCCATTTGCTACCAAGGCCGTGGAGAACAAAGAGGAGAGTCAAGGCCTTATCAGGGCCTGCCAAGGCTGATGCCCTAAACCTAAATGCTGATTCAGAGCTGGAAGGAGACTTCATGATCACCAAGGAAAATAACACCCAGAGAGATGAAGTGACTTGCTCACAATCATTCAGCTGAGAGTAGGCTGTACCATGGGGGGAAAAGGCCTTGGGATCCAGAGAAGCTAGGTTTGGATCTTGCTCTACATCTTACTGTGTGACCCAGGGTTGGTCTTACCATTTGAGCAGCAATTTCTTTAAAAGGGGGTGGCTTTGCTTCTTCACATGCTGTGCACTTCCCCACAGGGCTGAGAGTAAGTGAGAGGATATGTGTAGATGTCCCCCACCTTAACACCTCCTCCAGTCCATTTTCTGCTCATCAATCAGAGATTTTTTTCCCCCTCTTTTCATGGTCTTTCAGGAGCCTTGGTTGTCCAGTGATTAAGCTCCTGGCTGCTAACTGAAAGGTTGGCAGTTCAAACCCACCCGGTCTCTGAGAGAGAAAAAGACCTGGCAATCTGCCCTTATAAAAGATTACAGCCTAGAAAACGCTATGGTACCATTCTAGTTACATGGAGGCACTATGAGTCAAAATTGACTGACACACAACACTGGGTCTTTAAAGAAACTGAAAGTCACTTTTTCCTTATGGAGTAACTACCAGTTCCCTGAAGAACATTGCATTGCAACATTATCCTACATATAAAAGGCATTCAAAATGAGTGTTAATTGGACAGAAAGCCCAGAAGCAAAACACACTTAAGTAACAATTCTGGAATTGTCAAATCAGCTATGCACAGGAGCTGATGATGGTTTCAAAGTAATAGATTCAAATCTCATTTTTAAGCAAAAAACTCTCACACTCGAAACTCACTGCCGTCGAGTCAGATCCGACTCATAGTGGCCCCTCCTTGGGTTTCTGAGGCGGTATCACTAAGAAAGTAGATTGCCCAACCTTCCTTCTGAGGAGTGGCTGGTGGGTTTCAAAAAACACTCTAGCCCTTGAAAATATGTTTCTATTCCTCCATTCTCAAATTGTATTTCGATTCATTGCTGAGTGGAAG